CATCATTAATTTATTAAAAAATTATAAATATACAGTATGAATGAATACATGATAATGTTAGTAATTTACTGTTGTTAATCTATCCTACAGCTTCCATCCATCCACAAACAAATATTGGATATTATGACCAAAGCTGGACTTTCACTATCACTATTTGGATTGATAGTTACGTTTTCAATCTTTGCTTTTATCAAGTAAGAAAAATTTCTATAATTTCAAAGAAATATAGCTCGCTTCCAACATGGAAAATCAAAGGAAATCTGATATATTTTGCATCACTTTATTTAAATTTTTTCTCAGGCAACTAAGAGGCATTCGCAGCTTTGTTCATGCAAATTTATCAGCGGCTTTGATAGCTGCAATATTTCTATTCTTATTTGGTGCTGATGCTATAGCGAATCCGGTACTATTAAAAGAAGCTCTAACTAAGCTATCGTTAGCAATCTAATAGTAGAAATATTTGTTTTTGATCAATATTGAGTTGGCAAATATAAGTTACGCTTCAAGTTCCATGAAAGTTTATGACATTGTATCTTATTTATTTTATGATAGCTTTTATGCAGAATTATTGCAATAGCTTTGCATTTCCTCTATCTTGCTGTCTTCTTCTGGATGTTAGTTGAAGGCATTATTACTTATATGTCGTCTGCAAACTACAGACACCAAAAGAAGCATTATTACCTTTATTTGGCGATTGGATGGCGTAAGTTAATGATAACAGTCCAATTTAAAGATAAATTGTACTTTGAGTTACTTTAATGTAATTTTAGCTCAATACTTTGGCTAAAAGACATATTGAGTTGTGTTGAATGAAGTATGATTTTGTACATTTCTTGACTATTTTTAGTCATACCTGTATTCATTGTTGGATTATCCGTGATCATGAAAATGGAAGATTATGGAAGCCAAGATTCGTATGTCTAATTTCGTGCTTAGCTGAGATTCTTATTCTCCAAGCTCTAAGCTATCTTCCGTCCTACTTTATAGCTGCTATATCAAACCGGACAGTA